TTTAGTAATCGAGGTACTCGAATCATTCGAGGAATCGTTTCAGCCCTACTCTGAATACTTTAGTCAGACTTTGTGTCCATCCATCATGGAGTCGTTTTTTATTGAGAACAGGAGAGGAGGAGTGTGTTTGTCCTGATGACTGACCCCTGACCCCTCTCTTCCCCCCTCCAGGCTCCGTTCTCCGGCCTGCTGTTCCGTCATCCCGGCTGGCCTCTCTGCCTCCATGAGAGGATAGTCGTCCATCTTTGTCCTCTGGAGCCGCTCCTCCTCCATCCAGGAGACTTCTACCTGCTGCTCTCTCCTCCTGCGGCCTGCGGCGCCCCTGTGCCCCCCCGCCTGTTCCTGGTCAGCGCGTCAGCGGGTGGCCGCCATGCGGAGCGGCAGGAGGTGCCGGCCCGGGCCCTGACCTCCATCTTCAGCATGGCCTGGCTGGACGCCGAGAACCGGGAGCGTGAGCGGCGCGGCGCTGCCGGGCTGCGGCGCTGCGTCCTGTCCGCCCAGGGCGACGTCTTCAGGGTTCCCTGGGAGGACGTCGTCCACCCGCAGTTCATCAGCCGCTCGCGCAGCTCCGCCCCCTCCAGGACGGACGGGAAGCTCCTCCCCCTCTCAGCTGCACCCAGCCAGTCAGCAGCCAGCAGCGACGACTCGGAGGGCGAGTATGTGGAGCTGACCGAGCTGCTGCCACCGCAGCAACCAGCACCGCCACGCTTCTCCCCACAGAAAGGATCCCTGACCCAGTCCATCAGCCTGCAGAACCGGACCAGAACCACAACACACTCCAACACACACCCGTGGGCCGCCCAGGCCAGCTCACACACCCTGCAGTGCTTCAGCCTGCTGGAGGAGAACTTCAGTCCCTCCTCCTCTTCAGGAGGCCATGGCGCAGCAGGGAGGAGCAGCATGCATGCTGCAGCTGCAGGAGGTGAGGAAGAGGAGGAGGCAAAGCATGACAGAGATGAAGGTTTGGAGTCAGACTGTGCAGAAAGAGAGGAGCGACTGCAGCAGGAGAGGAGGAGCGATGAAGAGGAGGAGGTTCTGGGAAGAAAGGAGGAAGTGATGAAAGTTGATCAGAAGGAAGAAGGAAAAGTTAAAGAGAAAGAGACAAGATGTGAAGAGTACACAACTAAAGACTTTTACTCTGAAATTAGCAAACTAATGCACTCTGCAGACTCTTATTCTGAAAGGTTAAGGAGAAAACTAAACCCGGAAGATTCGTACTGTAAAAACATGACTGAAAATACACACACAGAAGACTTTTGTTGTGAAAGTATCACAGAAAAAATCCTCCCAGAGGACTCTTATTCTGAAAATATGTCAGAAAAAAACAAACAGGGTAACTGTAATTATCAAGATATGGGAGTAAATATGCATCTGGTAGACTCTTACTCTGAAAAGCTAACAAGAAAAACAAACTTGGAGGACTTTTATTCTGAAAATATTATAGAGAAAATAAACCCAGACGACTCTTGTTGTGAAAATATTAGCCAAAAAACAACACACCCAGATTTTCAGTGTAAAAGCATCACAGAAAGCGAACTTTCAACTGAGTATTATTTTGAAAATATTGCTCTAAAAACAACCTCTGCCTGCTCTTTTTCTGAAAATGAGACACGGGAAACTCTCACAGATGACTTTTATTCTGACAGCATACTGCAGACACAGTCTGAAGACTCTTATTTTGAAATTGGCTCCTTTCAAATACCCTCTGAGTCAAAGAGGTTAAATTCTGGGCATGTTTTCCCCGACGACTTTAAAACTGAACAAAGCCTCCTTAAATCCGAGGACTCTTATTCTGAAAAGCTAATACAACAAACACTACCTGAAGACCCTTATTTTGAAGATCCAGCACAACTAACACTACCTGAGGACTCTTATTCTGAAAAACAAGAACAACTTGATGACTCTTATTCTGAAAATCTGATACAGTATAAAAAGTCTTATTCTGAAAATGCAACACAAGATAACGACTCTTATTCTGAAGATCCAGCACAGCTAACACTACCAGAGAACTCTTATTCTGAAAACCAGACACAACCTGAGGATTCCTGTTCAACAACAAAACAACTGGATGACATTTATTCTGAAAAACAAATGCAGGACTCTTATTGTGAAGATCCAGCAGAGTCTGAGGAAGCTCCTCCTGCGTTCAGTGAAGGGCAGGAGAACCTGGGGAATGAAGAGGAGCAGACTGATGGACGAAGATCTGCAGATCATCAGACTGAAGGTACACTCCTCCTCTTCCTCCTCCTCCTCATCCTCAGTGTCTCTCCCAGTCACTCTATTTATCCGCCAATCGCCAGCGTCCTTCTGACCTCCTCATCACCTTCTCCTCCTCTGATTGGCTGAATCCCTTTTTACACCTTTTGTCTTTGTAACTGTCTATCTCCTCCTCTGATTGGCTGTCTGTAGCTCCTCCTCCTAACTCACCTGTGTGGCTCTGTTTGTGTCTGCCGGGTTCGGGGTGATCTGCTCTGAGCTCCAGATCACAGACGTCCTGGTGACCCGGGTCGCCCTGACCTTTAAGAAACTTTTTATTGATTTGGATCTCCAGCTGGCTCTGGTTCTGATCAGCTGTCTCTCTGCAGGTTCCAGCTGTGAAGGTTCCCATGTCCAGTTACACATCAACGCTGGTTCTGGTCCAAAAGAACCAGAAAAACCCTTAGCTTCCCCAATCCAGTCCAGGTTCCAGAGTGAGCTGCTGCGGTCTGGAGCTGTGTGCCTGCCTGGTGAGCAGCAGAAACGACATCAGCCTGTTTGGGCCCAGTGGGTCGGGCCCGTCTGTCTGCTACACATGCTGGAGCGTAAAATATCTTTAGCATATTGTAGTGTATGCGTAGTGTGTTGAAACATGTTGTAAGCGTGTGTTTAGCGTGTTGATGTGGCGGCTGCGTCTCCATCAGGAACCACAGACCGAGCAGGGCGGGTTCTTCTCACCGTCTCCACCTGCAGCCCCGTGTGGTCGGACCCAGACTGTCAGAGCGCCGAGCTGCTGCGCCTGATGCGCTACTACACCTCCACCCTCAGGTACGCCCAGATCCTGCTTCGCTGCCCTCACCCATACGACGCTCTCTCTCTGACATCACTTCCCGTGTGAAACAGGGCGGAGGCTCGAGCCCTGGGGCTGACGGTGTTGGTGGATGCTCGGAGAGCGGCTCCTGCATCTGCCCTCTTCTCTGCCCTCCAGACGCTGCAGGTGAGGCTGGACCACTGAGGGGGGTCACATGACCAGAGGGGGTCACATGACCAGAGGGGGTCACATGACCAGAGGGTCACATGACCAGCTGATTATATTCAACAGAACCAGAATGATTCATCGATTGAAACCAGCCAAGCCCTGTGATCCAGTTCCTGCTGTGGTTAAAAACAGTTTGTTGCTGCAGTCCTTCATGCATTTGTTGCTGCAGTCCTGCTGCAGTCCTCCTCAGCCCTCCGGGGCTCCAGGTCGGCGTCATCTGAGTGGAAAGTGGCAGTAAGGTTCTGGAGAACCCGGACCAGCCTAGTGGGCTGAAGCTGTTTGTAGGTCCAGCAGAACGTTTCCCTTCGGACTCTCAGATCTTTAGGGTTCAGTTTTATCCAGGGTGGATGAACGTCCGGCTCGACTCCAGCTGCTCTGAAGTCTCACATGTAAAGTCTTTCATTCAAACAGCTGGAAACAGACAAACTTCAGCTTGAGTTCTGGTTCTGAGGATGTTTTTCTGTGCAGGAGGACTCGCCCAGCTCCATCCACTCAGTTCTCATCCTGGCTAACAAAGACGCATCACTGCAGCTGGATAGAGCTGCTGCTCAGGTAACTGCAGCAGCAGGCCAGGCTCCACCCTGCTGCTGTCTGTGCATGCTAACTGTGCATGCTAACTGTGCATGCTAACTGTGCATGCTAACTGTGCATGCTAACTGTGAGTTTCCTCCTGCAGGTGGAGGTGCTGAACTCCCTGAAGTCTCTGCAGAGACACGTGGATCTGCAGCAGCTTCCTGTAGAGCTTGGAGGCTCATTGAGCTTCAGCCAGAGCAGCTGGATCAGCTTCAGATCGGTCAGCACACACACACACAGAGTTAGTGTAGTTAAAACCTGACCCTGGTGACCCTTGCAGTGACCTGAGCCTCTGCAGCGCTGATGAAATGGGCTCAGAGTTCAGTTGTTTCGATGCTTTGTGTCCATCAGAGGGTGGAGCAGCTCTCCAGGCAGTGCAGCAGCGTCATCCATCTGCTGCAGGAAACCATCAGCAACCTGCAGAGCACACCTTTACCTGCTGTTGCTGAGGTAATGGGGCAGGTGATCAGTAGCTCCCTTATGCGGGAGGCTTTTGTTTCCATTTGCTGTAAATCAGGTTCAGCCTCATCAGAATGTTTTGACTAGGCCAGCCCAGACGTTGTCCCTGTCTCCCTGCCAGGATGCAGAGCAGCTACTGTCCAGCTGCAGGGCGGCGATGTGCAGCACCTTGAAAGACGCCCGCTTGGTGCAGCTGCAGCAGGCGGGCGGGGCCTCTCTGGCCTGGCTGCGCAGGGATGAGGTGAGCGGCGCGGCGGCAGAATGGCGGGCGGCAGTGGAGGCCGCGGCGTCGCTCTACGATCAGGTGGACGAGCTGCTGCACCGCCTGGTCACTCTGTCCAACGCCAGGACGCAGGAGCTCAGCTTCATCACCGAGTTCAGGGACCTGGAGCGCGGCTTCAGCCAGGTGAGACTGGTTCTCTGCAGCTCTCGGTATGCAGCAGTAGTCAGTATGTTACTGAATGCTCTGAGGCAGAACTCCCCCCTCCATGGCTGATGGATCAGAACCTCTGTGGACGGACCGGTCACTTGGTTCTGACCTGTTTCTGCTGCCTGTTGGGCAGGTGAGGGCGTGGCTGGAGCAGGAGGGCGAGCTCCGTCTGCAGTGTCTGAATGAGCCGGCGGACTCTCTGGAGCTGCTGAGCAGGAAGCAGCAGGACTTCAAGGAGTTCTACGCCGCCGCTTACGTGAGCTCTGCAGAACCTTCTGGGTTGGAGCTGTGGGACCGGCCCGGCGGGTCTCACTCTCCTTCCTCCTTCCTCAGGAGCGCTGCAAGCAGGGCGAAGCTCTGCTGAGCCGGCTGGAGCGCTGGGGCGACATCTCTAATCCGGACCTGCACGCCTACGAGGTCAAAGTTCACTCCTTCTGGGCCCAGCTGCAGGACTTCTCCCAGCGGGTCAAAAGCACCGAGCAGAACATGGAGCGGGCCGTGCAGCTGTACCGCTTCCTGGACCAGGTACTGATCCGGTTCTGAACCAACTGCCCTGGTTCATTTACAGCTCCAATAATAATAATAATACCAGAAATTATATTACATTCATTAATATGAGATCAATTTATTCTGAAAAACAAAAGGAAAATCTTTAGACCTTCGTCCAGGAGACTTTTAGCCGTCTGTGTTTAGTTTTTATCAGTAACTGTGTTTGCTGTGCGTGTTTCTGACCGGGAGTCGCTGCTGGCGCTCAGAGTCGCTGGTGGTTTGTTGTAACTGGAGCAGTTCCAGAGGGACTCGTCCACCTGAGCGCTTGCTGCAATACTCCAGACGCAAGAAACGGAAAAGGGGATCCAGAGCCGGAGTCCGGGCTCGTTGGAGACGTTGGTCAGTGGGGTCCAGCTCCATGTCTGCAGATTGTGCCGTCGGACATCTGACTGGTGGGATCCTCCACCTGCCTGTCATCGGCTTTTGACTCGCCTTGCATGGATGGAGGCCGACATGCTCACCAATGGAGACCTCTTCGTCACAAACGCTCCTCTGATGAGCGCAGTTTAAGCTGCGTGCCGCCCTCCTCAGCGTTCGCTCCATCACTAACAAGTCTTTCGCTGTGAGCGAACTGTTTACGAAGGAATCGCTTCATTTTATGTTTTTAACTGAAACATGGCAACAAGGCTTGGATTTTGTTCATCTGCGGGAGCTCTGTCCAGGAAACTGTTCGGTTTTTGCAACACCCCCAGAAGGGCGGCGAGGCGGTGGACCAGCGGCCATGTTTAAGGACACTTTCCCCTGCAGACTGGTTAATCACCACCTTTCTCCACTTTTGAGCTGCAAATAATTCAAGTTGGCTCTTTCAATTTATTTTACTGTATTTTAGTAAACAGGCCTCCAGGCGGCCGGGGAGTTTTTATCTGAATTCACTGAGCTGCTGTCCTCCATCATCAAGCTGGAGAACATTTTAATTTGGGGTGATTTTAGTTTAAACGTTGGTGATGATTCCTGTAAGGCGGCTGCTTCTCTATTACTGAGTCCTTCCTCTTCACTCAGCATGCACATCCACCCACTGTGAAGCCATCGTTCAGACCTTGTTTTCTCTTTAGGCCTCAGTGTGGAACATGTTGGTGTGGAGGACATTTTCTCCAGTGATCACAGTTGCATATATTTCAATGTGTCCTTCAGCCCTGATGCTGCTCCTCCTAGTCGTTCTATCCAAAGAAGGATCATAACGGATCACACCGCCGAAGCTTTTGTTTCTCATTTTGATCCTGCTTCCTTAGTTTTTAACTCCTTGGATGTGGACTTAACAGTTTCTTGTTTTAACACTGACTGTAAGGACATTTTGAACTTAATAGCACCTTTAAAACAGAGCAATGTTCAGCGTACAAGTTGCCCTTGGATTAATAAGGAAATCGTGACCTTGAGGAGAGTATGCCGGAAAGCTGAACGTTTATAGAAACGTACTGATCTGGTGGTTCACAGGCTTCAACTTAAAGACCTGATCAGCTCCTGAAATGAGATGATCAAGAATGCTAGAGCCAGTTATTTTGCTAATCTCATCAAATCAAAAGGACGAAATCCAAAAATCTTATTGGACACAATTAAGAACATTGTTTCTCCACTGTGTTCATCTCAAAGTGCTTTTACGTTCTGATTGTAATCGATTTTTAAATTCTCTACGGATAAAGTTGCCAACATCAGAGCCAGTATCTCGCCGCCTGGACCCTCGACCTCTGACCTGTGGTCCTCTTTACCCCATAATGAGATCACTGGTCTTTTGAAGCATATGCCGCTGTCAGCGAGTCCACTGGGTGTTTTCCCAACATCTCTTTTTAATGATATTTTAACTGCATCGTCCCAGTGCAGTCAGCTTGATAAATTCGTCTCTTTGTTCAGAATTTGTTCCTCGATGTTTGAAAACTGCTGCTAAAAAAGCCCAACCTGGATTCGTCTCTGCCTGAAAGCTGCAGACCCATCTCTAAACTTCCTTTTGTGTCCAAGATCCTTGAGAAGGTTGTAGTGCAACAACTGAACT